CTAAGATAAAGGATATGTGTGCTCTCTCCTCAAGCACAGATCATAAGCTATTGAGCAAGGGCCATGTTCTGCCCTGTGATGTAGAAGATTGATGAAGATTCTTAAAGGAGGGATTGTTGCAGATTTAAAAGGACCATCACTTGCGGGTTTGTTTTGCAAGCAAACTTTTCCCTACTAACTGTTGCATTTACTGCTACTCCTACAAGAAGCCAGCAAGGACCATTTAGCAATTCCTTAGAAATCCAGGATTTATAGTAAGTTCATTCAGAGAATGCATAACCTAAAATTTTCCCACCATGTTCAGGACCAAGCCATATTATGAAATTTATCATGTAACATCATGCTCATATATAAGGGAGGGGCAGCCAGGAAGGAGAGGGTTCTCTCTTGCTTCTGGGATTGTGATCACAGTATCTTGGTATTTCATGATCGCTACCCAGAACAGACTGGGTATCAGTTGGTGGGTGGTGAGCAATCGCATTGTGCATTATCTGTTTGTACTCTCTATTATTGCCATTGTTTTATTTTATTACAATTATTAAACTGTCTTTATCTCAATCTACGAGTCTCCCATTATTACTCAAAATTCTCCTCTATCCCTGGAGGTGGGGAGGGTGAGTGAGTTGCTGTGTGGTGTTTGGCTGCTGGCCGAGTTCAAACTACAACAGTAGCCTTAAGCTAAGAAGGGGGACACTGCCAAAGACAATTCCATCAATTTATGTGGAAACCGGAATGCATTTGGCTGGGCTTTCAATATAAATCCCTTTTATTTCCTGTGTTGGCTTGGTGGCTGGGAGAAAGCTATGATAAGTAGAAAGTTCTGCTTTAGTTCATTAAAAATCAATGACTAAAATCTTAATTTTTCTGCTAGGACTGCAAACCAAATGTGTGCTAATACCTGCTGACTTCTGCCTGTGTATGCTGTTGGCAGCTGGCAGTCACTCACCATCCAGTTCTGGCATCTTAAGGCCACTGCTTGTGTGATGCCCCCATACATGTACCTCTCACCTTGGTGAAGAAGGACTAAAGCAGCGAACCTCCTTGGACTAAGGAGCAGTCTTTGTGAACATTGTAGTGATGAGCTCAAAAAATAAGTCATGTACTTTGTTGTGGTGAGAATCAATAAGACCAAAACAGATAGGATGGGCTGGTGAAGAAAATGCACAGGAGAAAACAGGATTTTTTCTTCATGTGTAACAGGCCTGTAGCCATCCAGCTTTCCAAGTGGCAATTTCCACATCCTTCAGATCCTTTGGGGTTGTGGTAAAGAAAGATAATCTTTGATTTAAAGCTAAGACTAAAACATGGGCAATTAGTGAACAGAAAACATTTGCTGATGTCTGGATCATGTATGAAATTCCACAGTGGCACTTTCTTCTTGTACAATAAGACCAGGATACACTTTTTATATTTGGGATAATAAATGCTTCCCGGTGCAGATCAGAGTGGGTTACCTCTTCCTGCTGGGACATAACAGCCAGCATCTTTGATAGCTGAAAATTTTTTCAAAGGGAGGAGAGAAAAAACTTTGACTTGACTGCACTTGAAAATGGAAACCACCTACAGGTGCTAAGCCCATTGCCCATCCAAGTGAGGCTCATGGATACAACAGATTGCAATACACATGCATATGCCAATATATATAAAAATAATTTACTAAAATCAATGCAACCAACCAATCACTTTTTCCTGCTTTCTGATGTGAACTCTGAAGTTCCCATTGAATCTAGGAAAGAAAGATAGAGATCTGGTAATAGGAAGAAGTAATGACTTCTACCTACCCTAAAGAGTAGTGCCAAAGGTTTTTGGGGGAAGCTAGACTGTTGCCACTCTTTCTTCTTTCCCATTAAGTATGCTAGACAGTGATACAGTGTCTGATACCAGTGCAGACATTCAGGGTGGATTACAGCAAATTTGAAAAGGCCAGGAGCTACCTGGGATCTAATTCCCCCATGAAAAGCAATGCCTGCCTTAGCCAGCAAGAAAAGGCTGAATGCAAAAATAATTAGAGATAACATAAAATGGCTTCTCCCTGCGAACAGCAGGAGAACATGCACTGCGAGTAGAGATGTGTGACTAATTGATTTGAGGGGTTTTTTGGCAGTTTGAAAACTAAACACACCCAACAGGTAGGTTTTTGAATTCAGCAGAATTAATGTATCCTATTACCCAACAGGCTCCACTGTGTGTCTTCCCCAATGTCTAATAAAGCACAAATTTGGAAGCCCTTCCCTCAGCAGGGCATTTCTTTCCCATCTGGACACCTATTTTCACAAAATTCACAGGAGCATCCATGAGACTTTTGGGTTGCATCCAGACACTGTGTATAATTGTAATTAAGGGGGGGACAGACACAGGCATACATGCACACAAATGTGTGACAATATGGGGCAACAACACTCCATCTCTGGATCCAGACTGTATTTTTTATAGTCTTCACTGACACCAGGAGACAAAACGGAACCACTATGTTGCCAAACAGTTGCAGGTTTTAAGCTTGCATGTCCCACACCGCTGAGCAGCATTTGGGCAAGAAAACTCTTCCCATTCACCCATATGAAGACATACCTCTTGCACTAAGTGTTGAATTACCTCGAGGAAAGAATTATCCTGATTCTACCCTATTGTATCCCCTTTCTATCTCCCAAACAGGATTGCTTTCTCCTTGGAGGAATAAATGAAAGAGTTAGGTGTAGGGAAAAGGCCTCTAAGCTCACAACAAACCATCACTAAATAACAACCAGATCCCTTCCCCAGCACAGCAGCTGTGGACACTGGCAGACAACAGCTGATTGTGTCAACACATTTTGGGAAAATTTCCCAAATACTGTGATGCTCTGGTGGTCTAGTGCTCAGAAAAAGAAAAAAAAAAAAAAAAGATACAACCTTAAAAAGACAACCTTTTTCATAAATAGAGACAATGAGGGGAAACAGGATTTCTTTATGCTCACCCTGAAAGCACTATGAAACAGCCCTTCTGTTCCCGTATCAGAGTACAAGTGGAGCTCCTTCCAAAACCAGCTAATCTCTGCTGTCATTGCAGCATTTTTCAAAACAGAAAGTTTTCATGGTGAGATAATGTTACAAGAGCTGTTGAGACACAGCAAGGTATGTACAAACAAAAATACAAAATGTCCTCACTTGCTCATCAGAGGAGAAAGCTATTGCACAGGCAGTGGTCAGACAGTGACCAGTGTTCAGTGGCAACTGAAGGTGCAAACGTGCAAGAAAAAGCACACAAACCCCCCCTTTTGGGACAAGTTATGCTTAGAGCTGGTGAGATGTCATCAGTTCTGTAGTTACAACAGGGATTTTTCCAGTGAGGATACAGACTGATATGAAGGTTTAGGGCAGCCATTCCTTTTTGCCTTGCTACACAAATTTCCAATGTCTAATGCAACCAGAGTTTAATGTAAGGATGAATTACTTTCTCCCTTGAAACAAGAACTTGGGTCAAAACTTGATAGCCTGGATTGCTCTCTGAACCTCTACTTTAAGAACGGTGTCACTTCTATGCCAATAAGACAAATGCAGGCAAGTATCTTCTGGGTTTTTTTCTTAAACATGATGATATTTGTAAGACACAGAAAGAGATAGACTTAATTTCTTAGAGACAAATGACATATTTATTCCTCATTTGCAGACCTGAGAAAAAATTCGAGCAGCTAAATCACAGAATTGAACCATTACAGCTCTGACACCTCAGTCCAAGACCATGGAAGAGCACAACCTCAGACCGTGCCTGAGAGCACAGCATAAAGGCGTGTGTACGAGGCAGGGTTTTTAGCAGGAGTAGCATAAAATTAGCAGTTAGTTATTAGCCTTTATGTATGCAGAGTGTGTGTTTCCCAAGTAGGTTCAAGCCCACAGAAGAAAAAAAAAAAAAAAAAAAAAAAAAAAAAAGAAAGGCTGAACAGTGTAGGAAAAAAGGCTGGTGACAAGGGATCTTGGGATGCTGCACAGCTGCTGCAACTTTCTTCTTTTCCAGTGTGAAATGTCATGACACAAGTGGGAGCCACATTCAGTCATCAATATTTATAAATCCCAGAAACTATCAACTTGCTTTTAAAAACAGATTTTTATGTACGGTGCAACTCCAGCAGACTAAAAGATAAGCTTGATACCAAACTAATGAGAAATGAGATGAAGTTAATACACTGTAAGTCTTGGCTAAATCTGTTTATCCTATTTATTCACTGCCTTGTTGATCTGGAACCCTTAAATAAGAAATCTGGCCTGTTCACAATTATTGTTTAATTAATCATCCAAAGATCTATGAATAATGAGAAAAAAATAACAGCACTCACTGTAGAAACAAGGAATATAAAAAAGGATGAAATATTTTGTCTGGGGCAGGCACTTGTAGAACAAATATCCCCACTCCACCTTTAGCAAAGGTAAAAAACCAAATCTTTTTCTTAAAAAAAGGCTGCATGTATAACTGTCAACCAGCACCAAGCTGATCACCATCTGAGACCAAAAAAATACTATCATTTATGTAGGAATACTTTGGCTGATAGGAGCTGCTTAGCATCTCCCATGGCCAGGCCACAGCTTGGGCAGTGAGATACTGTGCTGAAGCTCAGTGTTTCCTTATTCAGCACCTGACCTCTTCATGTGTACTGATTGAATTCATCATTCTCACACATTTGCCTAGCAATGCAACACTTTAATGCCTGTTTCAAAAGGAGGAAACATAAACAAAGGGTGATTAAGTGTCTTTCTAGTATTGCACGAAAAAAATGTCACATGGGAAAGATGTTGAGGAAACTGTTCTCATTTCACTAGTGTACTAGGGGAGAAAAATAAAATAAATGTTAAAAAAAGAACTCACTAGTTCTCTAGGTGAAATTTTAGGTGAAATTTTTCCAGGAGAGCACCTGGGCAGTAATGAAAAACAGCAAAAATTTGGGCTTGAATGAATGATCCCTACAACTATAACACATTGTGAATTAAAACCCAGCTAAGCTGATGTCCCGTCTAGCCCTGGCTCCGTACACTTTTATATGGTGTGAGGCTTGGTCTGGCAAACTCTCATTTACATACATACTAATGCCTGGAAGTGGAGCCTGGAGGACTGACAATATTTCAACTAGCAATGACTGTAAACCCCATTATTAGTGATTCCCCAAAGCAACCTCAGGTTGAAAAAAAGTTTCATTCTGCTCAAAAAGAAAGTCTGTTGCAGGGGTCATCAGGGCACTTTGTTTCTTTGTGTGCAAAAGTATATTGTTTCCTTTCAGGGAAGATCCAATATTCCTCAGTGGTGGTTAAAGTTTCAAACTCTGGACTAAGAATAAGCCCCAGAAGAAACATGCTACATCAATGTGAAGAAAGAGAGGAGAGAATTGCTGTAAGCTTCTAAGGAACCTGGTGATCTATTTATCCAGAAAGTCACCATCCATGCTCTTCTTCAGCTTTTCCAGCCTCATCATACATGTTTGAACTCTTCTCAGACGGCTAGCATGAACAAAAATGGAGAGATCTCTTGTGAGAAAAGGATTGGGGGAGGG